ATCTGATGTGACGGAATTAAAAGAACAGAAGAGTCAAGGAACAGGAACAGAAACAACAAAGGAGGAAAGATCTGCGTACTGAAGTCTAACACAAAAGGAAAAGTCTGCATATAGAGAATTTCAATTTACATGCTTCTCACATTGCATAAAATGATGCAGGGCTCTGACTATACAGAAATTCCTTTCTACTTCTACTGGATAACTACTACAAAAATACAAAAAGACGAGGGGAAATCTCCGTCGTCTTTATTGCTTCAAAACCGTTGTGGTTGCTTCAAAATCAGTTTGCATCATTGCATCATCAGATAGTTATAATTAAACTAGTAAATTTATTTAAGCTCATTTTGTTTTTTCTTTTCTTTCATGGCTCCCACATAGACGGTAGAAGTTATGAGCCATTTCTTAGTTTTACAATGACCTGGGTTGAAGGACTTGGAATCAGTCATAGCAGACAACAGTATGAAGCCGACGTGAATGTCATAATCACAAACTTATTGAAGCTTTTCCGGTCAAGTTTCGATTTTGAAAAATGGGTTGGGATGTTCAATCTCAGTGGCTGTTGGTTTAGTCTAAATATGTAGTCAACTGAGTTGAATTTGAGGCAGATTCAATTACTCCACGTGAACCAAAACAGACCACAGCAATTTAGAGGTCAGTGCACAAAAATCTTGGTTGTTCATATGGGATGAATTTGGATTTTTGTTTTCAAGTGCCAAGGTAAATGCTCTGTCAAAACTACCTACAATAACAAGGCCTTGTATAAAGCAACCCCACAATTATGTAATGCCCAACTCCAAAAATTCCATGGATCCAAGGCTCTACAAATCTGCAAAATCAGGGGATGTTTGCTTCCTTAAACAACTTCTTAACGATGATCCCATGCTACTGTATCAACTTACGCCCCAAGAAAACACTGCCCTCCATATCGCCGTGCAATTTGGACACAAAAATGTTACAGCTGAGATTTATAGCAGATGCAGGTCCCTTCTCACACAGCCAAATTTAGATGGAGATACTCCTTTACATGTGGCTGCAAGGGTTGGCTGCTTCTCGATTGTCAATTGTCTGGTCAGAGAAACCTTGTCCAAGTCACAAATAGAGTTCGGGAACGCGAACAGCAACATGACTGAGACTCTGAGAATCAGAAATAGGGGAAACAACACGGTTTTACACGAAGCTGTGAGGAATGGTCACACCAAAGTGGCTGAGTTCTTACTTAAGATGGACCCCAAATTAGCTTGTTTTGAAAATGAGGCAGGTGAGTCTCCATTGTACCTGGCTGCAAGAGAGGGATTGTTAGATATTCTGAATCAAATTTTACAATCAAGTCCTTCATCAGCTCATGGTGGTTCAGACGGCCAAACAGCTCTGCATGCTGCTGTGGTTGAGAGGCATTTTGGTATGTCATACTTTAGCCCAGTAATATATGCTACTATTATCTCAATTAACTTGCAAATCCTATATGAGACTTTCACTATTGACACCTCTGGCAGTTGAATTTGCATAAATAAAAATAGTAGTATCCATTCCATACAGATGTTGCTCCTGTAATCAGTAAGAGTCTTCTGTAATTTTTTTTAATCTAAGCTAAATTTTTGTGTGATTATAAGATATCACGGAATCCCTCCTAAGGTTCAAACAGCAGCTGATCAAACAAGCTGACCACCAAGGCAAGACTCCTCTCTACTATGCAGCATCCCTTGGAGACCATAAGACAGTTCAACGATTACTAGAATTCGATATTTCGATTGCATATGTTTTGGATAAACAGGGTCATTCACCAATTCATGTTGCAGCCAGCAATGGTCATGCCAGTGTGATTAGAGAGATTGTTGGACATTGCCCAGATTCAGGAGAACTTGTTGACCCTTATGGACGGAATGCTCTTCATATTGCAATCTTCAATGGGCAAACAAACGTTGTCAGGTATATATTAGAAACAGCAGAGCTGGCGGGGCTCATAAACCAGCCTGATTTTGACGGAAATACGCCTTTGCATCTAGCCACCATTGAAAGAAAAACTTGGATTTTGCGTTACTTGAAGTGGGATGGAAGAGTAAATCCGAGATCCAAGAACAAATATGGCCAAACAGCAATTGAGATTGATAGCTCAATCAAAGAAGCTAATATTACACCTCCCAGGGTGAGTACTAAGTACATAATTAATATCCCTTGTATAAAATTGGTCTAAATGCTTAACAAACTACAAACTGCCAATCTTGACATTGTTTCTCTTAAATGAATTTACTTGAAGAATATAATGCCAAGCATTTGGGGACATCTCCAGACACCGCCTTCTTGGTTGGACAACATTAAGGTTTTTTCAAGAGCAGACCAAGAAGAAGCCATTGCAATGCAAACTTACAAGCAAATGGGCCAGACCCTTTTAATGGTTGCAACACTTATTACAACTGTGACATTTGCAGCAGCCTTCACAATGCCTGGAGGATACAACAATGATGTAGGCCCGGACCAAGGGCAGGCTCTTCTGCAGTCAAATAATTATTTCAAGTGGTTCATCATCACAGACACCATTGCCATGACTTGCTCAATACTTGCAGCTTGCCTTCTGTTCTGGGGATCTGTTAACAGCAACGAGTCCTTCTATGTTTACTATTTCACAACTGCTGCTGCACTTACATATTTTGCTCTCCAATTCACTGCAGCATCCTTCACAACAGGGATTTTGGCTGTCGTGCCCCATCAAAAATTTGTCAAAACCTTGGGAACCCTCGTTGGAGTTGCTTTTCATGTTATTACCCTTTTGTTTCTTTCCCATTTGGTGAAAATGTTTTCCCTACCTGAAGCCTGCAGATTCTTCATTTTTCATCTATGTAAGCACCTGTGCAAAATCAAGAACAAACCTTGAAGAATAAGTGCATTCTGCACTACTTTATAGTTCAACTCCTTTTACTCCTTCAGCACATCTGTCACATTAGAAAAAGTTTCATGTTTAAGGGTTTAAAGATTACAATTCAATATTATACACTTTTGATGTATGAAATTGTTGGATTTTGAGATATCTTGGTGTTATGATTCAACTAACACACACACACAAGATAGAAGAGAGCAGATAAACAAAGAAGAAATATCTGTGAAATCAATCTCAAGCTAGAAAATCCAGAAATGTGATATGGGAGAAAACTTTTTCTCTCTGGCTTCTTGAGCACTCTTTCTATGCTAAATATGAGAAGTCAATGTTGATTAATGACTCAGCCAAAACTAGGAAAGCCACACATATAAGAGTGACTATGTGGCTTCATCTAAGCCATACAAAATTAAGTAGCATGAATATACAACCAAAGACTGAACAAGTTTCTGTCCAAAATGTTTCAAGACCTATTTGACAGAAACTTAACTACATTATTACAACAAGTGCATTAGTCTTAATTTTAACACTAATAGCTTTCCATGCCGTTAATTTTTTTTCTTCTTTCTTTTTGGGTTTAGAGATTACAACTTGTCATTCTTGTTCTCCATTAAACAAATTCAGAAAAATGAAAGTATTTTTATATGTCATATAGAATCTCAGCAATCTGCTTCTGAAACAATAAACCAGTAAACTTGTCTCTTAAAAAATACGTGAATTGCACCCAAGAAATGCTATACTTATACAAGAGACTCCAAGAAGAAATCGTATTAGTTCGGATGCATGGTATCGGCTGAACCGGTACAGCCGATCACATGCCAGTCACGTGGGCTTTTTTAAAAACAAGTGAAACTGGTTGTTTTGGTTAACCGGTTAAATTAAGGAAAAAAAATCACCCCTTCAAAACCTAGGACGCGTACTCCATTTCGTCTATCTCCTCCTCCACAATTCTGCACAGCCACAACCCTAAACCCTCGAAATAACAGGTGCGCAGCTTTCCACAGCCTGAAGAAGCTCCCCCCACTTCGTCTTCTCCATCTGAAGAGCAGATTTCAGCCAAAACCCAGAAACCCACTTCGTCTTCTCCAGCTGCTTCCTCCATCTCGGTAAGTTTGTGTGTTGATTTCATTTTACAATCAAGAAGACTCTGTTACTAATCGGTTAAGGGTTGGGTTTTCTGTTACATATATAGCACCATTGTTTGCCATGCCTTCATTTCCTTTCTTGTCACAAATGCTAATGGTTACATCGAACTGTTACAAAGTCATCTTATAATGGCCTTGAAAAGAGGGAAAAACAATTGGCTGTGGAAATAAAAATTATTATAGCAAAAAATGACAGACAGCTGGTGGAAGAGAAAGGATTGTTTTGCAGTGTTGCAAGAAGGAAAACTAGAAACAGCAAAAATAGCAAATAGTGTTCAGAAACCTACACTACACGGCCTCTCATCTCAGTCTCACTGACACTGTGTATAGGGAGTTGGAGGAGAGAGACAGAGAGAGAAGTGCCTTTAAGTAGTTAACAACCCTGACGACCCTGACCCTATAATTTAACAAGCTCCTTCTATTATTTTACTATTATTCTCTCTCTTTCTTTAACAAATCCCACATCACTCACACGTGTGAAACCTCTCTCTATCTCTCTCTCCATTCATGTTCATGGGGTTAATGCGCTTTCAGTTCTCTTTATGCCAGTTTTGGTTTCTAAGAGTTTGAGGAGAAACTAAGGAGATGAGAATTGAACTTTACAGTTTCTGTTTCTGTAGTTTCTTAAAAACGAAATCATCAAGTCACTGAAAACAGCAGAGTATGATACGTTTGGAATGTTATTCCTTTCTTTTACTTTGTTTCTTGGAATTTAAAATTAGAATGAAATTATCTGTGATTGCTTCTTTTATTCCTTAATTATACAAACCTCTGTCTTAACTTGTGTGATACTGTTTTTAGAATGGAGTGAGGGGACTGATGTTGGATGTGTACGATTTCGAGAACGATATCTGGCTTTGCCATTCTTTTCGGGGGCAATGTTTCAACTTCATTGCATTTGTAATCTCTCTTCCATCGTGTCAACTTAACACTTATTCTTCTTTTGTGTGAATTTTGAACGGTGTGGCTGTAAATGAAATTTTGGGTTTTGCCAATTATTTGTTCCTTTTAAAATTTAATATGTGATTTACAATTTTGGCTGTAAATGAGAATTTGGTAGATTATTGTGCAGTTGATTGAAGAAGTTAGAAAATTAAAGTTATGCACTTAACGAACTGCTCTATTTTTGTCTTTCAGTAACTTGTTGCTCTAGGTATACATCGATTTGTCTTCCCTCTTTGTGCCAAAAGATAGACAACTCCAATTTTGCCGCATATATTTTTATTTTCTGTTATGATTGTTAGTAAGTAATCTCTATTAAGTCAGCCAACCATCTTTCATTTTTGTTTTTTGGTAATTAAATCAAGGATTTTGTTATCATGTTTATATGATGTGAGTGAGGTGATTTTTGGTGCGGTAAATTGCAAATCACTAGTGATTTTGAATTGTTGTTTCAGTTTTTTCATTGTTACAAAGTTAGCTTCGTTGGTGCTCTCTGCTCTCTAACTGTTCATGAACTTCACTGTTTAGTTTGGTCTCTACCCTGATTACATGTTAACAATTCCGGAAATTAATTATTCAAATTTTGTATTTATTTTCCCACTATGCGTTTCTGGGTTGTTATAATGCCTCTGGATCTGATTATATATAAATACCCATGAGGCCTCTGATTGTGTATGATTTAATTGTGGTGGGAACTTCACACAGGACTTGGCAAGCAAGTAGATGTTTCAGTAATTTGTTGGTTATCTGAAGCCTGTATTGCAAGCATTAGTGCCTGGTATGAAGCACTCGTTTCAGTCTCTTAAGATGTGCCATGTAGAAACCCGGAGATCATTTATGTACCCTTTATGTTGGTTTGTGTTTGCTTGAATTCCAAATACATGAAGGGTGCTGATATGTTTAAACTCAACTTTAATAACTTGAAAGGGAAGATGGGGATCTGTTGTGTGAACAAAAATTTATTAGGTAGTCAAAATATAGAGCTACTGTTGGTCAGATTTTTGGTGTACTTGATTAAGACTTTTTTTTTAATTGCATAAATGAAAACCCAAGGCCTTTTAATGAAGTTATTTTCTTTATGTTTTGCTTGTGTTTAAGATCAAGATCGTGGAGAACAAAAGAAAGGTTTTCTTAGACTGTGTTGCTCGTGATCTTCTAAGTGCTAGATAACTTAGTTCATTTTGAGTATTTTTAGTTTTAAATGTAATTTTTATTGCGATTTAAATATCATGTTACAATGGATAGATTTGCAGGTTGTAACTTTGTATATTCAATCATTGTATCTAATTATATTTATTTTAATTAGTTTGCAATTTCAATTTTCAATTTATTTTTTAATATATTTATTTTATTATTAGGTTTAGCTCGGTTTTGCTACTGAATCAGTTATGAAGCTTTGCAGAAGTGAATTAACATAAATGAACCAATGCCCTTTGGTTATGTTGGTTGTTGATTGATTGCAAATAAAACAGATGGAGGAAAGGGTAATTGTACACCGCTGTCTAGTTTTTGTATCATGAGACGTGCAATTGCATAGTCTCTTTAACCTAAACCAGGATATGCAATTGCATACCATTTATGCAATAGTTGACCCTATATATGCAATTATTACCATTTGTACAAACAAATTTCACTCTCTTGCTTTCTCGAAATACACAAACTAGTGTAGATTTAATAAGCAAGTGAAACTTTTTCGGGTTTTTGGAACTCAAATGTTTTTTCAAGTTCTTGGAACTCAAATGGTTTTTCAGGTTCTTGTACTCGAGATCGATATTTTAATCATTACCCTTAACATGGATAGTGATGAATCCAATTTCATCACCTCACAATGGCAAGGCTAACGATTAAAATATCGGCCGTGTAGATAACATCGGGCCTCCAATTTATGGATATTTTGGGGGATATATCGTTATCGTTTTAGGTATCGAGAAAAAAATCAACAAAAATGACAAACATATACATTGAAATACATAATTTTGGTGTAAAATTTTCATAAATGTTATGTACATTATCAATGAATGTATTGAACAAATAAAACTCAAAATTTACTAATAATAAGATATATATATATATGATGAAATATAAGCGGTATGTAATACTCGTTAATGAAAAGTTTGAAAATAAAATGTTGATTAGAATGAATAAACCATGCATAAATTCATAGTTTGTTTAAATATTGGATTACAATTTAGAAAAATGTCCATCTACATAAATGAAGAGCTCCTATGAGGTTCAAACAATGAGGAACCCGAGTAGTTTGTAAGCCATGTTTGAACATAGTGCACATAGGTCTCTCTTGAGCTCCCATATATGGGATAGTTAGGATTAACCCAACTAGTAGGTAGGGGTGGCCCTGCCATGGTGCAAATGGGGCTACTGCACAGGGCCCCTGATTTTTGAGAACCCCCGAAATTTTTTTACTTTATATAATATATATTAATATTATAACAACTGTATATATACTCCAACGTACAGCACATTGACACAAAAGTGTATTTAGTGGAGTTGGTTTCTAGTGCATATCCCATGGTGCAAGGCCTAGGTTTGAGTCTTAGTTATGTGAATATATTTGTAATTTTATTCGCTCTTTATTGTAAGAACAAAATTTAAAATAGTTTTAAAAAAGAAGCACATGAACAGTACAAGGGAAAAGATCCAATTAACTTAACAATAGTATATATCACACCCATATGCTTTCTCCTTAAAAAAAAAAAAAAA